AACTGGGTCTTCAGAAAATATACAACAATCACTTAACCTCCATCCGCCTCCCTCTCTCTACCAGGAGCCATAAAAATATTGGTGGTTGTAGCTTTATAGCATTGAACAAAAGTTCACACAGAGACTGCACAGTGACAGCCCGGAGACACACCCACACACACCCAAACTTTTTATTGTAAGTTTTAAATACACATAAAGGTGCAGGTGAAAGGCTGTAATCTCAGCTGCTAGGGAGGCTGGAGCAAGAGGCTCACTAGTTCAAGTCCTGTCCAGGCTAAGAATGAGATCAGCCTGGACATCTTACTAAGATGTCCTTGCCTCAGAATAACAGAGCTGGGAATGTGTTTGCTGGTAGCTCATTTACCTAGCTGTGTAAGGTCTTGCGTTCACTCCTCAGAACCACAAGAAGGAAAGCATGGTGTAGTGAGCCCCAGTAACCATCAGCTGATGGCAGACACTGCCTCCCCATCCACGCTCCCTCGAATTATGATAAATCAGATCCAGACACCATAACATTTTTACAATATATTTTAGTATCTCTAAAACAAGCTTAAAAAATAAATACAATATCCCCTAAAAATTAACAAATTTCAATAGTCAGTGTTCAAATTTCTATTGGTTTCATACATATGATAATTTTAAGTCTTTCTGTTTTTATTTTTTTCAATCATTAGATTATTGTATGGGTCCCTGGAATTGAAGTCAGGTCCTCAGGCATGGTGGCCTTTACCTGCTCAGCCATCTTGCTTGCCCTGTTCCTCTTTCTTATGCTATAGTTTTGTGGAAGAAACCTACAAGTTTTCAGTTAGTATTCCTTTGGTGTGTTTAACAGGCTGCCCTCTTCCATTCCTGCGGATCTTTAGTTTGCTGCGTAGTTTTTCAGATTCAGTTTCTTGGCCTGGCTACCCAGGCGCTGCCGTGTTCCCTCCTCCAGACACTTGCAATGTTTGGAGCGGTTGCTATGGGTTTCCTAAGTCTGGTAATTAATTATGGTGGTAGTGCCGCAGCGTTCTGACTCTATTACTCCTTTTTCATTCCTTGGCTGAGATATCTCCTCTCCTCGCTGGACCCCCTTCCCCCAGTGTCTCAGCAGGTAGCCCAGGCTGGCCTTAAACTCAGCTCCTGCTTCAGCCTCGCAGGTGTGAGATTCCAAGCACTTTCCACAGCTGGCGCTTAACTTGTACAAACTTTCCATGCCCTGTTTGCTTGCCCGGTGCTGTGGTTTATAAAGCCCATTTAAATGCTTGGTTTGTTCCTTTTTTTTTTTTTTTTTTTTTTTTTTTGTCAGCTTTCTAAGTAATGGGTTGACTATGGAATGTTTTCAGTTGTGAAATTTAAAAAACAAGAAATTACAGCTCTTTTTTCCTGGTGAAAATGAGAAGATCTGCCAGCAGTGGGCATCCATTCCAGTAGGGCAGGAGTGCATTTTACTCCAGATGACCCTTCAGGGACTCTCCTGCCCGCCCCCCTCTTAGCCCCCACCCCCTGCTTAGACTGCCTGGTCCTTAGTAGCAGCTGACTGCACTGCTGACGAGGGCCTGCTCAGTGATGTTTGTTTTCTTCCCGCCACTTCCTCTTGTACCTGTATAATTTCATATTACATGGTTCATGTCAGCGTGGCTAAAGTAAATTTCCTCAACGATTTCTGGGCTGAGAGATGACTCTGGGCAAATATATATACATACATATATATTTTTTTCTTTTCCTAGGTGGGATGTCTCACTGGCCTGGTGCTCATCAAATAAGTTAGACTAGCTGGCCCGTGAGTTCAGGGATCTGTCTGTCTCCACCCCAACCCTGGCTGGAGTCCTTAGCAAGCATCACCGCACCCAGTTTTTTTTTTTTTTTTTTTTTTTTTAAAACCTGGTTTCTGGAGCTAGAACTCAGCCAGGTTATTGTGCTCACAGAGCAACGGCCTTTCCAGCTGAGCTGTCTGCCCCCACCCCGTATGGCACAGCAGTTGAGTGCCCTAGACAGGGCCCATCCATAGTCTCCACAGCACAGGATCTCCCGCATGCCACATCCGCCCTGTTGGTGGTGTGTGTTCTTCATGCAGCTGTGGAGTCACCTGGAAAGGAGTGTGAGCAGCCGACACTGCGGGATAACAGTCGAACATTTGATTTCCCGGTGCAGCTTTTCTTAGGTGTTTTGACCCCGGCTTCTGTGATTTGTCCACTCAAGTTAACTTTATTTATTATTTATTTATTTTTGTTTTGTTTTATAGAAAAGCAATTTATTCCATTATAAGCACTTACACAGTTAGTCATGGAGAGTAGTAACAGGCCTGATGGTGAGACAGGTCAACCAAAATGGAGATGGCTTCAAACTTTAGTGGTCAAGGACTAACTCCTACACTTTTGGCCAAAAGGCCATGTTGGGCCAGCGGGGGCAATGTGTCTGTAATCTCAGCCCCTCAGGAGGCTGGGGTTTGAGATCATGAGACCAGCCTGAGCTCCATAACAAAACCCTGTCACGAAACAAACCAGACACCTCCTAAAACTGACCTGCTGGTGATGCCTGCACACAGCGTGTACACATCACAGCCACTTTCTGAGGGATGCGGTCTTCACGTTAAACAGATGTGCAAGCTGTTCTGGGCCTGCAAGGAGGAAGATTTAGCCAGGATACTGCAGCAGGTCTGCCTTGCCTGCCCCAGCTGCAAGACCTAGAGGCCACAGCATACCACAGGAACACATTCACCCTATGGAAGATACCTGAGCACACAGTGTGCCGGCCTTGGCCTGTCTGCATTAGAGAATGAGCTGCCTAAGGGTCACAGCAGCCATGTAAAGTATTGCGTAGCTGCTGTATGTGTTCTCAGTTAGAGCAGGGCTGTGAGCTTGTGTTTCGGTGGCGTGGTTAGTGGGAATGGCTAGTTTTTTTGCATGCTAAGTGGATTCCAAGTACTTTACTTGGAATATCATGCAATCATAGAGTCCTTACAATAACCCTATAATTGCTTTATATTAGAATATAAGGTAAGATGCTGTTATTCCTATTACAAACAAGGAAAGTGCCAGGGCCTACAGTGCTCACTCTTTCTTGGTTTTTGTTTTCGACTCCACAGGCACCCAGGTTGGCAGAAAACTTCTGTGTCTGCCATTTGGCCACTGGGGACATGCTGAGAGCTATGGTGGCTTCAGGTTCAGAGCTGGGCAAGAAGTTGAAGGCGACGATGGATGCTGGAAAACTGGTAGGTTTGTCGTACCTGCGAGTGTTGCCATTCCGAGTCCAGAGTGGTGGCCCCGCTGCATGGGCTTCTGGGTGTTGACTTCCTTATTCATCGCAGACACAGTCGAAGCCAGTGCAGTCACAGAACGTTTCCACCGTCCTAGAAAGTCTTCTGAGGTAGTCCTGTGTGGAGATGTTTCCAACAGACTGCCAGGTACAGGAACTTTGAGCAGAACACATTATTTGTTTGATTCTGGACTTATTATTGGTTCACAACTTATTTGTATAGTTTTATTATTTTGTGTATATGGGCAAGCACTTTTCTCATAAAACCATCTTGCCAGCCATTTTCATGGTATTCTTTTTTCTTTCTTTTTAATTAAAGTAGTATTATAAGTACTGGAGAGATGGATCAATAGTTAAGAGTACTTATAACTCTTTCAGGGGACCTAGGTTCGATTAGCAGCACCCACATGGCAGTCACAACCGCAGTTCCCCGAGATCCAACCCCTTCTGACTTCAGCAGGCACCAAGCATGCACATGGTACACAGACAAAACATGCATAAACATAAAATAATAAATTTTTCAAGTTTAGGGGTGTGTGTGTGCTCCAGCCAGCCACACACCTTTAATCCCATCACTGAAAAGCAAGCAGGCAGGTGTCTGAATTTGAGTTTCAGGTTAACCAGGACTATACAGTGAAACCTCTCAAAACAAACAAACAATATATATCAATATATATGCATACATACATATACATAGTATGTGTATATATATATATATAATTATATCATTTCCCGCTCCCATTCCCTTTTCTTCCTCCAGCCCCTTCTGTATGTTCATAGTTTTCTTTAAGATACCTTGTAATACTTTTTGTAATTCACTCAAACTAAATAGAACAAGTAAAAGCGCTGTTCCTGGGACAAGACTCTAGGGTGTATGCAGAGGAGGTTCTGGGAGACTACAGAATGCCCATAAAGCTCTTCTGTGGCTCACTGCTCGATTTCTTATAGTTCTGGTTATGAGCCTAGCTCTTAACAGCTGAGCTGTCTCTCCAGCCCCGCGCTCTAGTTCTGACAAGGGAGTTAGTTACTTGGTTGGTAGTTGTGGGAAAGTAAGCCTGTGTCATAAACCAGTTGGCTTGATTTGACAGACACAGTGAATTGACTAAACCTTTACTTGGGCCAGCTCTTGCTTCTAACATTCATTCTAGAGCATGACTTTGGTAACACTAGCAGAAGTCAGTTTGTTCTTGAACACAGCAGGCGAGAGCTGGACCACTGGGCCACACTGCAGTTCCTCTGGCCCTTGTTTTGCTCCTGTTTTTAATTTTCTAAATTATACTCTGTCAGTGTGTGCATTCGTCTGCCAGAGCATTCATGTGGGGGCTGGAAGACAGCTTTTGATAAACAGCTCTCTTCTTCTACCACGTGGGTGCTGAGTTCAAGGTCAGGTTGTCAGGCTTGGGTGGTACCCACTGAGCCATTTCATCATCCCTGTTTCTGTTTTGGAAGCAGGATTTGACGTGTTTACCTGGTTGACCTGGCACTTACGTGTGTCCCAGGCTGGCCTCCCGGGTGTTGAGATGGTAGGTGTGGACCACAACCAGTCCGTCCACACATTCCTTCCTACCAGTCCTTTATATCAGTGAGGCCATGAATCAAGACAGAAAGATAGAGATTTTGGACTTTGGGTTTTGGCAGGAAATTCTGTGTGAGAGAGAATGGGCGTGCGGCAGTGAGATCGCTTATCTCCGAGCCCTCGATCAGTTGCAGTTTATACTTTGTCCCTAAGTTCATAGCCAGTTCTGGAGATAGAGACTAGACAACTGCATCCACTGATAGACCTGGAACAGTTTGGTTGTTCTTCTGGTTTGCACTAGGATGCCAAAGAAAACGCTCTCTGTGCTTCCTGTCTGTCTCTGTGGCAGTCCAGGTTGAATTGGAGAGTACATCTAATTAATAAATAAGACTAGACAAGATTGACAGCCTGTGCTGTAATACAGGTGGGAACTTGTCTCTCTTTAAAGGCCCTGGGAGAATGAAAGATTTTTGGTGGATTTTTTTTTTTTTTTTGGAAAGGCCTAGAGTATGCTGTGGTAGCTTTTGGTTCTTGTTTCTGATCCAATATTGCCAATTCAGTGCCCTTCTTTTTCATACCTTAGACAGCCCAGATCAGATAAATAAATAATCAAGCCAGCATATCAGTTGTGGTATGAACTTGTGAATCAGGGATAATTGGTGTGTCCCTACGTTCTAGTCAAACTGCTCTTCTCCCCTGGTTCTCGGGTGATGTCTCTGCCGTGTACCCTCACCTTGAGGACAGCCTGTTGCTGATAAGCTGTTATATGATGGTTAAAGGATTACTGGCAGAAGAGGCCCATAGGGCCTAAGACACACAGAGCTGTCCTGCTGGGGCGCAGCCCATGGATCCCTCTTCCCTTGCCCAGTTTATTGGAACACATTAGAGTTTCAAGGGAGGGACATGTCTGGCCACCAGCTAATTATGGATGTGAGTGTTGCAGATGGAGTCTGTCCTGGTCAGCTTTGTGTGACTGTGATAAATATGTAAGAGAAGCCAACTAAAGAAGAAAATACTATTTTAGATCAATTCCAGTCCAGGGCTGCTTGGTGCCAGTGTTTCTGAGCTGTGTTGAACTGTTGTGCAAAGTGTGTATTAAAACAAAGCTACGCACCTTATAGAGGCAGATAGAATGCATACTCACTCAAGCAAGATGGCTAAGAAGGTAAAAAAAATAAAAAAAAGTGTGTTCTACTTGTGTCTGATTACCTAAAGTTCAGTGCTGAGCCCAAGTAAAGGTCGAAGGTGAGAAGTGGCTCCAAGTGTGTGCCATGGTGCATGTGCCCTCCCTCCCTCCCCAACACGCATACATAAGGTTTAAAAATATAGTCTTAGAGATCAGGCCTTCAATATATGAGCTCAAGGGGGTACATTTAAGATCCAAACTGTAATGGAGACACCCCACATTTACTCTGCTTTCGCATCTGTGGCGTCAAACTGACTTGCTGTTTGGAAACCAAGTCTTCTGTGCATAGACTTGAGCTTGTGTGTGGGGTGTATCACCTAGATGACAGAGTTGAACCAGGGCTCTTTTCTTGTAGGTGAGTGATGAAATGGTTGTGGAACTCATTGAGAAGAATTTGGAGAGTCCTTCATGCAAAAATGGCTTTCTCCTAGATGGCTTCCCTCGGACTGTGAGGCAGGCTGAAATGGTAGGTGGTGGCTGTCACAGCTGCACGGTGGCAGGTGCTGGCTCTTTATGTGAATTACTTCAAGGGGATGGAGCTGATCGAGCTTAGGTGGGTCCATGCTCTTTTGCAGCTTGATGGCCTCATGGAGAAGAGGAAGGAGAAGCTTGATTCAGTGATTGAGTTCAGCATTCCAGACTCCCTGCTGATCCGGAGGATCACTGGAAGGTAGGTATCCCTGCAGATGCCTTCATGCTTGCTCAGAGCTTTGTGGGGCAGAAGCACTGGTGCCTGTGGAAGTCAGAATAGGGCATCAGATTCCCCTGGACTGGAGCTATAGGTGGTTGTGAGCTGCTTTGTGGGTACTGGTAGTTGTACCCGGGTCCTTTGGAAGAGCATCCTATGCTCTTAACCATTGGGCCATCTCTTCAACACCCACCCATTTTTCTTTTAATGAAAGAAATTTTGGTTCTTAGTACAGCTTGTTTTCTTATTTCTCTGGAATAGTGTCAAACATAGAAATGCATCTGTTGAGAAATCCTCGCTGTTTCAGGCTGTGGTTTCTCTCTACTCCATTTCTCTGTATCTGCTTCTTGTCTGCCAGCACCACTACGAGAACCTTTGTTTTTTTGTTTTTTTGTTTTTTTTTTTTTTTTTTTTTGTATCGTGGCTGGAAGGGGAGAGACTTATTGGTGAGCATCACTAGAGTGTGCTACAGCACAGTTGAAGCTCTCGTGAGTACAGGGCCTGCCACTTGTCCAGGGTGCAGTTATCAGGGATGGGCTGCTTCTCAGCTCTCATTCCTTCTAGTTCATTTGAATTCAATTTGGTAAAGTCCCTTTTGAGATCTAGATCTTTTGGTGGCCAGGGAACTTGAACTTGGCCCTGTACTGGACTTCAGTCATGTTTCTTAGGCTGCAGCCAAGCACAGGTGTTCTTGATGACCTGACCAGTGTGAACCCTGGGGCTCTTGAAAGCCACCCCACATGCCTGCTTGGAGAACAGACTGGGGAGATCATGAGGAAAAGGCATGAGCGTTGCTTGTCATTTTTAAAAAGCGGCATGGGAAAGACACCATGCAACAGATTCGTGCGGAGGGGATTATAATTAGGGAAAGCGGACCATAAAAAGAGGGAGGGAGGGAGGGAGGGAGGGAGGGAGGGAGGTCAGCCTCTGGGGACAGGAGCAGCAGAAGGAGAGAGAAAGGAACAGACAGACAAAGGTAGAGAGAGATGGGAGGTGGTCAAGGCCCTTTTAAAAGGGAACCTAGTGAATGTGCGTAGGAGGTGCTCCTAGTGCCTGGAGCTGAGGACGTATCCTGTCAGGACCCGAAGGGCAGGCCAGTGCAGATGCCTAAATACTAACACTACTCGCAAAATGGGGTTACCCATTAATAACAGGCTGAGTATACCATTGGAGACCAGCAAAGGAACCTGGCATACTGAATTGCCTATAAGGAAAGTAGCTGCTTTTTTTTTTTTAATTTTATTTTACTTTAATTTTTTAAAACAATCTTTTTAAATTTTCCCTACCAATCCCAGTTCCCTCTCCTTTCCTCCCATTCACCTCACCTTCCACCTACCCCAGCCCCCATTTACTCCTTAGAGAGGGCGAGCCTTCCCGTGGGAGTCACTTGAGGCAGGTCTAAGGCCCTCCCCCTGTATCCAGGCTGAGCAAGGTATCCCTCCGTAAGGAATGGGTTCCAGAAAGCCAGTTCATGCACTAGGGGTAAATCCTGGCTCCACGACCAGTGGCCTCGCAAACTGCCCAAGCCACACTACTGTCACCCACACTCAGAGGGCCTAGTTCGGTCCTGTGCAAAGCCAGATATGAATAGATAACAGTGTGAGATGTGTTATTCTGTAAGGCTCTGAAGGGTACATTCAAACCTACTTTACATTAATTTTCTTTTCAAATTTACTTTTTTTTTTTTAATGTTTCCAGGTATTTTATAGGCTTCTACACAACAGAGACCTGTGTTTCTTTATAGTCCCTTTGGGCATGAAGTAGACAAAATTGATGTTAGACCAAGAAACAGTAGGATTGCCAGGTGATGGTGGTGTATGCCTTTAATCCCTGCACTTAGGAGGCAGAGGCAGGTGGATATCTGTGAGTTCGAGGCCAGCCTGGCCTACAGAGTGAGTTCCAGGATAGCCAGGGCTACACAGAGAAGCTCTATCTCTAAATCCAAAAAAAAAAAAAAAAAAGAAGCAGCAGCAGCAGTAAGGTTGACAGTAAGAAACATCCCTAGGCTTGCTACTCTGGAGGTACAAAGCAGGCAGTAACAGCCAATGACACTGGAGGTCTTTAACTTAATGAGGTCAGCATCCTGGGTACCTGCTCCTACATCAAACCATACCCCGGGGCTGAAGACCATGACAAGCTCTAGAAGAATAGTACAGTGACGCCTGCTTCTGATCTCAAAGAGTCGTCTGAAACTAGGTCATTCTGACCATTCAGTGCAGTGGGGGAGAGAGCCTAGGAGAGCTGTGCCGTCAGCGTGGACCGAGGGAGGGCAGGAGAGAGACCTGTGCCGTCAGCGTGGACCGAGGGAGGGCAGGAGAGAGAGCTGTGCCGTCAGCGTGGACCGAGGGAGGGCAGGAGAGGAGTGGCAGCGGGAGTGTTGGTGGGGAGGGCTCGGGTTGGGGCCTGTGGTAGACTAGTTGACTCACAGTAGGAGCTGTGCTTTGGAAGCTGCAGGGGCAAAATGGGTGAAGTTGAAAGAAAGGATGGGCTCCGGGATGTTTGTGGGGCCAAGAAGAGTGGGCGTGGTCTGGAGCCACTGGTTATTGGTGCACAAACTACATTCTAAAATATTGCCTTGGTGCTGACTTGTAAGCTGGGGAGGGGTGGCAGATCAGGATTTCATCTGGGAGCCTGCTCATAGTTCCATACAACGATAGAGACTTGTGACCGGCTGCGGGGTGACCATAGAGGGAGGATAGGAGAGAAAACCCGATCCCTTAGTTTAGAAATGATTTAGTGTAGTGTAAGTTCTCCCAATCATGGAGGTCCCAGGGATTGAACTCAGGTCATCAGGCTTGGTGCAAAGCACTAAGAAGCCTGCCCTCCCATCTGCTTTTATTTTTATGTGTAGCCCAGGCTACCCTTGAACTATAGGAATCCTCCCACCTCAGCCCCCCCCTAATTCTGGGATTATAGCACACCCAGCTTCTTTGTTTTAAGATAGGGTCTGACTGTTGCTTAAGCTGTTCTCACAATCCTGGGCCTAAGTAACAGGTTCCTCCACCTTAACTTCCCTGGTAGCTGAGACCATTACAGTGTCCATCTTCATGATTGGCTTAGTATGCCGTTTCTCCTAGTGGCCTTGCTCACGCTGTCGTTTATCAGTGGCCACAGAGGTGGGCATCATTGTCTGTATATCCATAACATGTTTTTGTGTGTTTGCTTTATAACCAAATTAGGCTAGAAAACAGCACAAGCAGGCACATACTTGTGATCTAAGATGTTTGTGGGGTGTCGGTGCAGAAGTAGCTTAAGTCAAGGTGTTCTGTTCCCCAACACTTTGTATTAATCTTGTGAGGATTGTTGTGTTTGTTGGAGGTATTGATTCCTGCTAAGTGCTGCCTGTAGCAGAGATTGTGATCCATCATTTCATAACCAGGTGGATTCAGTGTAAGATCTGGTTTCAGCTAGGAACTTCTTTAGGAAATGGGTATGACTAGAATGAACGTCTGTGTGCACTGAACAGCAGAGTCCTCCTAAGGTCTGGACTAGGTTGTTCTT